ATCAAAGCCCTTAAGGAGGTTAGAGTTTAAATGGGGAATACAAGTATCTATGATGCTGTGTGGTAAGGGCAACAATAAAGCACGTACAAGATATAAGGAATCTTCTGGGCTTTGCATTGGACAAAATGTCCTTGGGAGGTCCTTTCCCTGCAAGCCAGTATGGGCTCAGCTCCAACTCCAGTGATTCTAAATGAGTCTAAAGATAACAGATTATCTCACATCTGGAACCGTGCCCACTGTCTGAAATTTCCCAGTGGCCACCAATAAGGTCTGGTCCCTACAGGCCCATTAGTTATTATCTATCCTACGTTGCTACTTCTGGAACAGACACCAGACATGTAGTATTAGAAACAGTACCACAGGGCTTTGTCCCAAACAATCTTTGAAATAGGCCTGTTTCCACTCTGGCTCGTGCTGGGGAAGCAGCACCTTTGCTTCCTGATTTCTGTCACATGTCTTCCTGCAGTTTTGTCTCCTAAGACCAGCTGGTGGAAGAGCTCAAAGTGCAAGGAGCCAGTCATGAGGGACCTGGAGCTCAAGAAATGAGCAGTAAACACTTAGCACATCATAAACATGGATAATTTAACAAGACATACAGATTGATGGCCCCGGTGGACTTATACTGGATTAGTAGACTGCCTCTTGCTCTTAGTGGTTCTTTCTGTGCTGGTTTTTGGGGAAAAAGTATAAAAGACATTCTGTTAGGAAGATGAGAAAAAAAATGCTTCTGTTTTAGACAAAGCTTGTGAGGGTTCAAGGATCACCCATCTATTGGCCAAAATGAGTTTCAGTGGCTTAAAAATGAAAAAGATAAGTACAGGCATTTTTGCCTTCTCATTGTACTTAAAGGCAGATTTTACAAGTCTTTCTTCTCCACCTGAAAACAGGACTTGAGAAATAGTAAAAAGAGATACTGGATATGACTAGAGTGTCAGCATCCTAAAGACGAATATTGTTCTTAGAAGTAAATGCTTGGTTCCAGAAGCTTTCTGAATACCATGCAGCGCTGAAGAAACTATCACTGCTGGCTCAGACCTTGATAAGATAATAACATATATTAGATGTTTTCCCTACTCAGACACACTTCTAAGTGTCATGTGTGTGTGTGTGTGTGTGTGTGTGTGTGTGTGTGTGTATGTATATATATATATACACACACACATATACACAATTTATATATGTATATATACACACTATATATTCTAATATGTGATAGATAGATAGATACAGATATACTAATTTATTCTCTTAGGACATAAGGGATTAGCAGACCTTTCAAGTCCTGGTATGTTCTAAGACAAGTTAACCCAGAAACTGTCATGGAAAAACAGATTCAGCAAAAAGGGACCAGCCAACATGTTACGCAGAAGTCCCCGTGGCTTAGTGGCAGGGATTGGACATTGTGCCCTTAGGGGAAAAACGATGAGATCAGAGCAGACTGGGAGAGATCAGGTCTGGCACTTGTGCAGCAGGCCTGGATTCAAAGATGATCTGATGGGAAGCTGGGCAGACAGTTGGGCCGAGGCATTCATCCATAGGGGCTGGCCAGAGAGGCAGAGTTTGGATTGAGAATGTGGGTGCACCAGATCAAAGCAGCAGGCCTGAGGAAGGGGTGCCGGGGCCTAGAGAGAAGCTTCAGCCCCTGGGATAAAGTGGCAGTTGCTTTTTATAGAGCACTGGTGTATGGGGTGCTCTGGGAGAACCCTGTGAAAGGTGTGGGGTCTCCAGCACTATTTGGGCATACCCTCCCATGGTTTGGTGACCCAGGCAAAAAAAGGGACAAAGTACAAGAATAACAATAGCAGGGAGAAGTTGTGCTAGATTTCATCCCAACACCAAAATGTAGTTACAAACAAGTAGAAGAAGAAGATTTTTACACCCTACTCTGAGCCCTAGAAGGCTATACTGGACTGGGATTCATTCTCCTTTACCATCAGGTCTAGGATTTTTTTTTTTTTTAATTAAAAAAAATGTTTATTTATTTTTGAGAGAGAGAGATAGAGAGCAAGCAAGGAAGGGGCAGAGAGAGGGCGACACAGAATCTGAAGCAAGCTCCAGGCTCTGAGCTGTCAGCACAGAGCCCAACACAGGGCTCAAACCCACGAACCATGAGATGGTGACCTGAGCTGAAGTTAGATGTTTAACTGCCTGAGCCACCCAGGCGCCCCAGGTCTAGGATTCTGACTGTTAATAATACTGACTTTGGGGATCTCCATTCTTAGGATTACTCAGGGTTTGTTGTTTAAATCCTACTTGGCTTGTACTAATAGGCACTAATGCCAAGCTTTTACCACTAAATTCATAGGCTTGTCAAATAAATGGTAATACCAAGAGATCTGCTGCAAGTTACTACTTGTAACCCATGTGTAATCCATTCTTGCTTGGTGTCTTAAGGTATTCTTTAGTTCCTAATCCCTAAACCTAAATAAAGAGTTGGCAACCTTTTTCTTTTAAGACCACTGGTAAATACTTTAGGCCTTGCTGGCAATATTCATTTCTGCCACTGTGGTGGGAATCTGTGATAGACAGTAAGACAAATAGGTATGGCTGTGTTCCAGTAAAACTTTATTGACAAAACAGGCAGCAATCGGATTTGGCATGTGGACCACCGCTGCTGATCCACGATAGAAATGAACAGACAAACAGATATATACATTTTATACTCTCCATGAGCAATTTTTAAATTCTAATTGTTTTTTTTCCTAAAGGATGGGGGGTAGGAGGAACCATTTTACCTGTGTGTCCCTGTCATTTACCTTCTAGCTTCCATTTGTAACTCTGGAAGCGAATAGCCTCAAACCAAACTTCCTGTCTGCTTTTAAGATACAGAAGCGGCTGGAACGTGTTATTGCGGGTTTTTTTATTTTAAGGACCGAGATCCTGTTTGGTACTTTTTCCTCCCATCTAGTGAAGTTCTTCATACACAGACGGCCTCTGGTAAGAGTTGAGTAGTGTCTCTTACGCGGCCACTACTCTTTCTTTCTCCCATTTCACTGGCAACAATGACCATCTAATTTGGCCTTCTTTGGCACTGCTTATCCAAATAGAGTTAATGTATTCAAAGATGAGGCAAATGCAGTTTCTTTCAAAATGCAGGAAAATACCAAACGCAGAACTTGAGTGAGAAACTACTAGAAGAGACTGATCCTGGCCAGAATCAAGTCCAAAGGTTAAACTGTTTGCCCTCCTTATCTAAGGAATGAAAATGCTCAGATGCAGGGCAGAACCTGATAAACACTAAATTGTCTTCAGCAATTAGCAACTTCCGTCACCTGTTATTGCTTGGCTAGTGTCTTCCCAAAAGATATAGGGAAATGCTAATTTAGCCCTTGGGGCCTGTGAATGTCACCTTGTTTGGAAATAGGGTCTTTGCAGATGTAATCAAGTTAAGGTGAAGTCATTAGGGTAGATCCTAATCTAATATGACTGGTATTTTCATAAGGTGACAGAAATCTGGACACAGACACACACACAGAGGAGAATGCCACGTAAAGACAGCGATGTGCAGGGAGAAGGAGGCCACATGACAATGGAAGCAAAGATGGGAATGAGGTAGCCACAAGGCAAGAAATATCAGAGATGGCTGATAACTTTCAGGAGCTAGGGGAGAAGCACGGCACAGGCTCGCTCTCAGGCCTCCAGAACCTTGCTGGCACTTTGATTTTGGACTTCTAAGCCTCCAGAACCATGAAAGCACAAGCAGCTATTGTTTTAAGTTACTCAGTCTGTGGCAATTTGTGGCAGTCCTAGGAAACTAAGATACCAACTATGGGCTGACACAGAAGAATTCAAATAAATTTCATAGAGCGTTCCCCTCTCCTCTTGTTAAATGTCCTCCTCACTGTCTAGATACCTCAGTAACGGAGTCAGCTCGGTAATTCTGCCATCAGATGCACAGGCCACATTTGATTTTGATTTATCTTTCAGATAACCCGGGACTTTCAAAGTTAAAGGGAAATGATCATTTTAATACTTTGCCTGATGTGGATTCAGAGCCAGGCCAAAGGCAGTTTAGCAACCTGTCAGCAACTGATAGTATGACTGAAAAACCTGATATGTCAGCTATTGTTCTACTGTATTAGCTTCTTTGGGTCCTATGAACTCATGAAATATAACAAAGCGCTGTATTGTCTAAACTCTTCTGAATATATGGCTAGCGGTCACATAACTCCTTTTGTCTTAGTCTACGCCTGTCAAAGAGGAATTCTCTGGTGTCTTTGTTTTCCTTTAGAGCTTTCCCCTCTAATTTGATCTGTACTTGATGACATGGTCATAAAGAACACCACGTACCTGGTAGAGCAGAATCGCACGTAAGCATTGCTAGAGTCAAAGGAAGGAAATTTCCCAGGCAGAAGAATTCTAAGAGCTAACGTTTATTGATTCCTGTGTGCCAAACTCTTCTTCAGATGCTTGACAGCAGATACCATTTTTATTCTTACAAGGACCCTATTGGGCAGGTGTTATTTCTCTCCTCCCTTTACAGCAAACAAACCAATTGATGGCAGCGATGAGTAGAAGTCACCAGAGGTCACGGGGCTGATGAGCACCAGGGCTAAGATTATGAACCCAGGTGGTCTGGATGCAAAGTCTTTTCCTTAACCATTACTCCGTTGGCTTTCTACCTGGGAAATACTCCCATCCTGGATCTGAACCTTGGCGTGTTTTCCTCACTGAAAAGCATGGTTTTTATGGCCTTTTCAGCTAATGGAAATTTTGGATCTATGTGTTTGCCCAAGGTTGTAGGATCATCTCTGCAGGAAGGGGATGGAATGGCCCCTGAAGTCCAGCTCTGGAGTATTTGTGATTGTTGATGTTACAGAGGCCTCTTGATCTTTGAATGATCTAGGCCACAGGGGCACCATTTTTAAGCAGTCACATTTTCTCCGACTAGACCCACTAACCAGAAATATCACAACATTTTCAAAATGAAATGTTTTGTTTTCGTATCATGTTATTATACAATAAAATTAGTGCCAGTGATTGACTGCAGGTCTACTTACCTCCCTACACAACACACATCTGGGATGAGACATCAGAGATCCAGGGAAGAGAGGGCCAGAGTCCAGTGCCTCTTTTGGGAGGGCTCCTATAGGCCAGCATCTCCTACTGTTGAAGTGGTCAAGAGGGAAATGGATTAGGGAAAGGATGGGTCAGGATTGCTTCTAGGATAGGAGTTTAATCCCATCGTCCCCAAAACCTCCTGCCCACAAAAAATTTTTTATTAAAACTCTTTTGACTATTCTAAAATGACTTTCCTAGATAACCTAATCTATTTATACACATAATTGAAAATCAATGTTATGCCCAACTGAATCATAAAGAAAGACCAAAAGGAAAGTAAATGGAAAGTAAATAGTATGATACTTATAGCTCAGGACCAACTATAGCAAAGTCATAATGATGTAGTCAAATGTTTGCACCCATATGTGGAATCTGCAAATGTGAGTATGTGCTGATACAGGGTGTGGTGTGAGACACCTATCGAGAGTAGCCTTACCTGAGGAGATGAGATTTTTCCAGTGGTGAGTAATCTAAGTAAAGTTATTAGCAAAACAGCACATAAGCTCCCCCTGATTGAAAACAATTGTCAACAAAGCAACATATAATTTTCCCTCCAATTTAGTGGCGTTGCGGGGATATTCAGCCTATATCAAAACCCAGAGAAAACACTGTGTGAATGTGGGAAATAGACTGGGGTCCTGACTTTGTCACCTACGTGAATTAATTCAATGGTTAAGCAGGATGTGGGACTATCTAGTTGTGGGACCATCCACAGTTCCATGATATCCACCATATCCAAACTTCAGCTGTTGGGACATACAACCGCCCCCTTAAATTTCCACACCTCCAGGCGCTGGATCACTCCAACTGGCGGCCACTAGGTTAGGGCTTCCTTATTCCCAAATCTCTTTTGTCCCCTTGTCCTCTCCTGTCTCTGCCTTCCTCTCTTCTCCCTTCTCTTTTCCCCTGCTGCCACTCCTGTTCACTTCCCGCGTTCCCTTGTCTTTCCCCTCCTTGCTCTGCTTTTCCCATCTCCTCCTCCTTCGCACTTCCATCAGGGAGGAGGTGGTGGCCCTCTTGTAAGAGCAGAGTTGAGGGGTTCCTGTCTCTTGTGGAGAGTGTATCTCATAAGACTGCCTGCAGCTATTTTCCTAGCCCTGAACATCCTCACACTGCATTTTCTCTGTCTCGCTCTCCAAATTTTGATCTGTAATTTCAACTTTATAGGTCAGAAAAATACAGTCAGAGAAACACCGTGGTATCAGAGCCTTAACTCTTTAATATAATTTTAATATAGACTCTTTTTTTTTTTTAATTTTTTTTTTAACGTTTATTTATTTTTTTGGGGGGGACAGAGAGAGACAGAGCACGAACGGGGGAGGGGCAGAGAGAGAGGGAGACACAGAATCGGAAACAGGCTCCAGGCTCCGAGCCATCAGCCCAGAGCCCGACGCGGGGCTCGAACTCACGGACCGCGAGATCGTGACCTGGCTGAAGTCGGACGCTTAACCGACTGCGCCACCCAGGCGCCCCTAATATAGACTCTTAAACACCAAATAATGGCTAAAGTATACATACCTCATTGCCTTTAAGTTTCATCTTATCCCCATTTTACAGATGAGGGACAGAGACACAGAAATTAAATGACAGGCCCAGCCTACAGAGTTCATAAACAGCAGAGCTGGGATGTTGTGTTAACTCGGCAAGGGGTGTCATGACAGCAGTTCCTATCCCCAGAGAACTGGCTACCTAGCGCACAGGAAAAACCTGAAAACGAATAGGTGAAAATTTGACAGCTAATATTTATTGGGTATTGTCATGTGTCATTAAGTGTGTTCTACACACATCATCTTATTAATTTTTTAAATGTTTATTTATTGATTTTGAGAGAGAGAGAGAGAGAGAGAGAGAGAGAGAGAGAGAGAGAGAGCACGAGCATGTGGGGAGGGGCAGAGAGAGAGGGGAGAGAGAGAGTCCCAAGCAGACTCCATGCCGTCATCATGGAGCCTGACTCAGGCCTGAACCGACAAACTGTGAAATCATGACCTGAGCCTAAATCAAGAGTCAGACGCTTACTGAATGAGCCACCCAGGTGCCCCTCTTATTAATCTTTTTAATAAACCTGTAATGCCCATGATTTTGTTGTTGTTGCTGTTTGTTTGTTTTTTAGCGTCACCATGCACTTGCAGGTAAGGGACCACAGGTAGAGAGGCTGCTAGTAAGTACTTGGTCTGGGATTCAGACACAGACTGCCTGGGGAGCCTGGGTTCTCACCCACTAGTCTAAGCCCTGGGATTTCAAGAGAGGGAAATGTTTCTGGCAGCTGGGATCAGGGAGTGGCACTGCAGCTGAGCTTAGGGTTGGGGTAAATTTCCACAGGTGGAGATGGGGAGGCATATTCCGTGCCTGGAATGGGTGGAGCCTGGGGGACAAGGAGAGGTAGTCACATAGTGCTTTCTCCTTTTACATTAAAAACTGTTTTTTAATTAAAAAAAATTTTTTTTACATCTATTTATTTTTGAGAGACAGAGAGAGACAAAGCGCAAGCAGGGGAGGGGCAGAGAGAGGGAGACAGACAGGCTGTTGGCTGTCGAAGCAGGCTGCTGGCTCTGAGCTGTCAGCACAGACTGTGACATAGGGCTCGAACCCATGAACCATGAGATCATGACTTGAGCCAAAGTCAGGCACTCAAACGACTGAGCCACCCAGGCACCCCTCCTTTTACATTTTCAAGGCATGCTTTGTTTGTTTGTTTTCTAAATGTTCATTTATTTTGAGAGAGAGAGAGTGCATGAGTTGAGGGGGACAGAGAGAGAGAGAGACAGACAGACAGACAGAATCTGAAGAGGGCTATGTCTTGACAGCCCCCACTGAGGGCTCATGTTCCATGAGATCATGACCTGAGACGAAACCAAGAACCTGATGCTTAAAGGACTGACTCACCCAGACGCTCCTGTTTGTTTGTTTGTTTTTAATTCCAGTTGAATATTGAAGAGAATGAGCCTTCCTGTTGAACATCTGTAATTAGAACAAATACATCTTTATCTGTTCTGGGCGACTATTGAAATAGTTTGTGAGAGGGGCACCTGGGTAGCTCAGTCTTTTAAGTGTCTGACTCTTGATTTTGGCTCAGGTTATGATCTCGTAGTTTATGAGTTTGAGCCCCCCATCAGGCTCCACTCTAATAGTGTGGAGCCTGCTTGGGATTCTCTCTCTCTCTGCCCCTACCAAACTCATGTGCTCTCTCTCTTTCTTAAAATAAATAAATAAACTTAAAAGAAAAAACACTTATTTTTAAAAAATGAAATAGTTTGAGAAAGCACCATGATCATTCCTGCCTGGCGCTCTGTGCACTCTGTGTACCAGGAAATGGTCTGAAGGCAAGGGCCGGAGCTCCAGTCCTCCTCACTCTGCCTGTCGATCTTGGGCCTTCTACCTGATCCTCCCCATTCTTCCACAAGTGTGGGGTAATGACACAGGCCATGGTTATCCTGGAAAGACCCTGGAAGGCCTAAGGAGGGAACAGGGGTGCCCAGCTTCAGAGGAGAGGTGCTATGAAACTCTAAGGCATCAAACATTTTTATTAGTCTGCTTAATCTGTCCTTTTAATATGTAGTAGTAATTAACATTGGCCCTGGGCAACTCAGAAGAGGAATGTTGTGACCTCAGTTAATTTGTAGAGTGCCCTGGTGTTTGCACATACATGCTCTAATTCAATCTTTACTAATTTTCCTATGAAGGAAGCAGGATGATTATGACCAATTGCCATTTTTACAAAAACTGAGACCCAAACCATTTGTTTAGCAAATGCAAGATCTGGGTATAAAATTCCAGGCTTTCGACTCACAGTTTAGACTACTTTCCAAGGACCATAGAAGAGGCTTTCTGGGGACAACCCTTGCTAAATTTCTTGGCAAAATTCAAGACAGGCAAGAGCACAGACTTGCTAATGCTGCTTGCACATAGTACATAACCCACAGTGACACTGAATTTCTAAATCTTTTTAAAAATTCAGCTCCAAGTTTGCCCCTCTTGCTTTAACCCCTCCAGATAGAATCTGCCACTCCTGCAGCAATCCCGTGAGGCTGCCCACCTGCCCCTGTAATTACACGTACTGCGTCATACAACAATAATTCGTTTATATGTCTGTCCCCTCCACCTCTTCCCCTTGTCTCCCCACCCCCCGGGGACAGTGACACAGGGCCAGCCATCTTGGGTCTCCAGTACCCAGCAGGTTGCTAGATGTAATAAATGCCCAAGAAGGATCTTTATGTTTTTCATAAAAGGAAAAACTTACTTCGACTGCATAAAATTCAGAAATATTTGAACAGTAAGGAATATCAAAAATGAAATAAAGTTAAAAAGAAATAGAAAAATAAGAAATGGCTACAAAATATCAAATCCTCTAATCTATGAATTAATAATAAAAATATTACTAAGTTCAGCTAGGGATGATGCTGCCATTTGGGGCTGTGTGTATGTGTTGTTTTAAATACCAGTCAAAACATTTTGAGGTAATACTTTTACTGATTTCTAAAAAATTTTAATGTTCATTTATTTACTTTGAAAGAGAAAGAGCATACACATATGTGAGGGAAGGGCAGAGAGAAAGAGAGAAAGAGAAGGAGAGAGAATCCCAAGCAGGCTCCACACCGCCAACACAGAGCCCAGCTCAGGGATCAAACTCTCAAACCATGAGATCATGACCTGTACTGAAATCAAGAGTCAGACGCTTAACCGACTGAGCCACCCAGGCACCCGGGGACTTTTACTGATTTCTAGTAGCAGCTCAGAGGGTATAGAAATGGTCTTTACTCTTCTAAATGTTTCCATTTGGTCATGTCAAGGTTCAATGATAATTTAAGTAATAATGGACCTTTTTCTTGAAGAAAAATGCAATATATCATCAATATTCTACAGGGTCTACTGAAGTGGAAACAATGTACGTACAAGAATTATAGAACAACCATCTGTATTAGAAAAACACTACCTTAGGAATTATCATTCTATCAGACCTTACTAATAGCACATGTTTCATCAATTAAGTAATAGTAGTTGAACTAAAAAGAGATGTATCAAAATGACTTCTAAAGTCTTTATTTTTT